ATGCCGATTAGTGCAGCGTTTACTTCCTACTCAACTCCCGCACCCACCGTACTTGAATGTCAAGGTTAGGTCTCCAGAAGATGCGTGTGGGTGCAATGGCTGACAAATTTAGGCAGCTCGTCTACGCGCGTCACGTGCAGCGGGACCTCTGCCTTCATATGTATCAGGATTGGAGGAGGGTTTCGGAGTCTCGCATAGGTGTTGTCGCTAGATATGCCACACCTATGAGTTGCAAATTGAGTCTAAACCCTTTTCAGAGCACGAGCTTGCAACGGTCTGTTTGAAGACCACGTGATTCATTGCTACCTGGTGGTTTCTCGTACGGGTAATTGACTGTGACCTTTTTTGGAGAGTACGAGTCAAATTTTATCCGCATGGGTAGCCCAACCCTGTGTACAGAACTTTGGACGCGGGCGAATCCGCCATATGTGCTGCGTCGTTGCAATTGTCATTCGGCGTTGTTGCCATGGATATAACCCTTCCGAGCAACCATGCGGACCTAGACATGATAATGGGGTTTTTACCCTTTAGCAGTTAAGAGCTGAATTCCATGAATCAATGGGCAGTTTGTAATTTGCTTCTTGATGGTGATGAATGAAATAAGAGAAGCGGCTTAATCTCGCCTACTGACGAACATAAATAATGGACATGCAAAAATACATATTGAAATTTGTTATGTTTAGTGGTAAGCCGACAACCATAAGAAACTCGGAATGGCCCTGTAAGTTTCATAATTTGCTTGTTAATATCTGGGGGACTTCACTGAATTCTTAGAAAATCCGTTTACTGGGAATATACTATCAGCGCAAATGTTCCGCTTTTAACTCCAGGCGAGGAAGCTCGAGAAAAATTGAACGTCACTTGTTTACATTATGAATTACTCTGTCTTTTAAAAAACTTTGATTAGTTAACCAATGAATAGGTTGACCGCCTTGCTGTTGAAGTAAAAAGTATTTGACTTTCAAGCGCAAAAAATTAGATAAACGAAGTAATCGATGTCTGCACATTTTTAAATACACGTTAGTTTAATTTGAACCCCGCCTTTCGACCACTGGCTCCAGGAAAATGGTATAGTATGACATATTATAGACCTCTGTTTGGCCCCTAATAGGCACTGCGCATATTACAATACATTGTCAATTGTATGTAGGCGCATGAGCTTAATCGGCTCAGCATCATAGCCCACATCAGTGTATTTAGACTGCAATTGTTAACAGAACTTCCAGTTTCAGACAACACTAGATAGATCTGTCCGACTACACACAACATGTGTCCCAGTCGCCAAAAACCGGCTTGATGGAGATCTGTCTTTACTATTGATTTTTCTGTCCATATTATGTCCATAGTAGGCAAGTCTGCTATACGACCATGGGACTATAAGACTGGCCAAAGAAAGTCTTTCAGAACGCGTCCTGTTCGTGGTAAATATTAGCAAACCGTTTAGTCAGAAATAGGCGCACATATATCTACTACCTTTACAAAACAAATATGCTCCATATCGGCGGCAGTGGTCACAAACAGGCAACGAACTACCAGGCTGTGTGTGGACGCATGTTGTGTTTATGGCCACAGATGGTGGTCGGGGTTATGATTGGCTAAAAATGATTAGAAGACCAGCAGAAGTTCTGTGTCAGTCAACCCGCATTCTCTTTCGCCTCGCTTCCCTCTGATAACAAGCTATCCCCACAGAGCTGTAGCAGGTCTTAAAATCTCATAAATAAAGATTCTCTTTTTTGCTTTCTAAGTCTATCGATCCAGTTGCTACAGTCCCAAATCGCCTAAAAATCATGCATGCGACTTAATTCCTGCATAAACATGTAGTCCGTTAATAACTGTCAGGGAAATGAACCTAGTCATAAGACGGTGCTTGTAACCATTAAAACGTCCTAAATACTTCTAGGAGCGCTTGAAATAAATGTCACAGATTAATAACATCGTCCTCGACTGCTTTAATTGAATGTTAACATTCCTTCCTGCAATATCGTCAGCCCGTAAAATGTCACACATCTTTTTAGAAAACGGGGAATCTATTGCAATCGTGCACTCTGATCTCAGAAAAATGCATAAGGCCAAAGTCATGTTTAAACTGAGTTTCTTATAGTTGGATAATATCAATATAAGGTGAACCGTTTTGCATATTTATTGACATAAGACAGGCTACTGCAGGAGAATTGGTTCAGGATATTTTTCAAATCATGCTGTACTCTTCCCTACAAAATACACATTTATTTGACCTATCTCACTAGAGGTCTCACGAAAGCAATAAAAGTAAGTATATCACAAAATATAAAAAATATCCAAATGGATTTCTTTTAAAACATTTCGGATTTTATTTTGCAGCGCTTAAGGAAACAAATATTTTCCATGCTATTCCGTACTTTTTTGATAGGTACATAGACAGTTTTTCTCCTTTGTGCAATCAAAAATAGACTGTGAGACAACAAAGTGCGTGAATTTCGGCTCCTACAAAATTCTGCTGGTTAGAAAAATAAGACAAAATGTGCATCTCGTGCATCAAAGGGTAAACTAAACTCCATTTAAAAATAAGTACCTTTACCGAATACAATGCGATCGTGGCAACATTAAGAAAGCTGAAATTTACTGAGTATTTTTTAAATCCTTTATCTGGGGATTTCTCCTCTATTAGCGTACTGCCGTCAAAACTGTCAATGTTTCAGGCGCACGAATCTCCACATTGCATAATCCATGACTTTTACGCCTGAAGCGGAAGATGAAAAGGAAACTATCACAGAAAAGTTGTGAGGGGGATTAAAAGATGTCGAGTTTGTTTTCTTTATCTGGAAGCCAGAGTCCAGATGCGTCGTAAAAGCATTTTATTCCATATAATTGTCTATGCTTCCCACACGTAGTTATATGCTATCTGGTTTTTGTTCCTCCTATCGAAACCGCCCGCGTCATGTGTCATCAGAAAGGAAATTTTGCCTTAAGTCTCAACAGG